GCCCAACATGGGTACAGCTCCTCCAGCAAAGGGTTGGTGGCTCTGAAGCATGCAGCAGCTCCTCAGCACTTGTTCTGCTTCTCCTACCAGGACAGAGGGACAAAGCAAACCACTTCAACCTGGGCAGTACCTCACCTGACAAACAGGGCCATGACAAACTATAATGAAAACCCCAGTTTAGGCAAATTCCCATCTGTTTAGTTAAGATAATTTTAGTTTACTACTACTTTTTTCTTCCTTGGCAATTGCATGTGTGCAATTAGCTGCAATCTTGCCTCTAAAAAAAAGTATAAAGCACCCTAATTAGCATATTAAGCCTCCTCATTTCCCAATACTGTATAATGTTGTGAAAGCTAATCTATAATGTATTGGGTACTATGCAAATTCTCTGCGCTCCATACGGGGTTTATAAAGGCATGCAAATTAAAAATAGGGTTTGGAATAGGACTGGGGGGAGGGGAGAATTTGCACAATAAAAAATGCGGATAGGAGGAAAGGTGTTTATAACCTTCTCCCTATTGTTAGTGTATTCTCAGCTGCACAGTGCTTTTCAAAGCGGAGAGATGTATTGCATAAAAATCTCTCCAAATTGGATAGTTTTTAAATGAAATTTAAATTGAGAGCGCTGTTCTCTAAGCAATAATCCACACCACGCTTTCTGCTGGGGCTTGTAATGGGTCGGTAAAGGCACTCAGCTTCTACTGACTTGCATTGCAATCATGCACGGCTTCTTGTAGCACCTTTGCCTGGGTGTCACCAGGTGCCTCATCGCAATACAGCTGCCCAAGGACGGTCCAGAGGGGTGGTTCGGCCAGGACCTGGCTGGTCCCCAGCAGCATGAACCAGCAGGGCCGGTGCATTACCTGCAGCACCCAGGGCGTTTGCAGTGCCTGCGGAGCGTGCTTTGATCCTGTTGATGTTTTATAGCCCTGCCTGTAGGTGATGCAGACATAGCACTGATACAGCTGGGTTTTTACGATGCCGCTGGCTGGTGGTGCAGCGGCTCCGTGCGTGCTGCCAGAGCCGAGCCAGCACACACGGTCTGTGTCGTGCAGCTTGTCACTGCCGCCCGTCGGCTGTGCCTGGTTGGGTGCATGCAGCTTCCCTGACTGATGCTTAATTAGATTACAGCTGCTGCTTAAAAATAGCCCGGTTATAAAAATAAAATCTTGGCTGGTGTCAAAGCAAGGCCTGCGCAGATCGGGAGGAGTGATGCTGCCTCTGCCTGGCCAGCCAGGGAGCTCTGCTCACACAGACAGTGCCGCACCGCTGCCTCGGGCACCAGGGACCAGCGGTTCTCCTCACCTTGATGGGTTTTCCCTGCTTTTTGCCTCATTTATGTTACGGTAGCCCACAGCCTGCCTTGCACAGCCTGTCCCCGCTCTGTGGATGCTGCCCTCCAGGGCTGCGCCCCACGCCTGCTCTCCTCCCAGAGCACACACAGCTCCTCTGAGGGCAGTGCTTTTCCACACCAGCCACCAGCAGGGCTCACGGCCACCTTGCAGACAGCTTTTTGGCAGATGAGGGAACGAGGCTCTTCTTCACCTGATGCTTCTTCCAGTATCTACCCGTGCTGCTCGAGGGCTGTGAGCCCTCCAAGCCTGTGGACATATTGCCCTAGGTGACACTGTGTAATTAAGCTTGTAATTAGGTGGGTTTGTATAGCTCATGCTGCTTTTTCTACTGGGTCTGTCCATGCAGAGAGTCATGCACTCTGGGCAGATGTAGGAGATAGGCAGGGAGCAGCAAAGCAAGAGGTGAGGCTGACACCAGGGCAGATGTGGCTGAGCTCCTGCATCTCCACTGACAGCAGGCAGGGATGGACCCACAGCAGGGCACGTTGCAGGGCAGCCACGTGTGTGCCCGCCTAATGTTTTATCCCATGCAAAGTGGCACAGCATCATTAAGGATAAGGGCCCATTCCTTTCATTCCCACCAGCACAGCCATGGAGTGGAGATCAAAGCTGTTCAAGCAGGAACTGAAGACATCCCTAACAGAGGGAGGCTGCCTCTTGGAAACAGGCAGGAAAAACTGCAAGGCACCACTTAAGGAGGAAATGGAAATGGCAAAATCCAGCTGAGGACTTCTCAGACACTGCTTTCCCACAGGGAAGGGACGGGTATGCTCCGATCCCCCTGGGCTTGCAGGCTCTTGGCAACACCGCAGTTAGCAGTTCCCTTCATTCTGCTAATCCTTCCCACTCTGACACTTCCAGTCAGTGTTTCCATGTTCACTCATTTGTTTCCTAAACGTCTGTATTTGCTTATTACCTGCTGCAGTTCCCTGGACCAGTGACGTTCAGGATGCAGCAGCTGCAGGGGAGAGCAGCGCCTGTGCAGTGCCTCTGAGCACGGCCTCTTAACAGTGCCTGCAGCTGGAGGAACCACCGCCAGCAGGGAAACAGGCAGGAGGGATGGCAAAACCCCACCCTGGGGTTATTTGCTTTGCAGATGTACACACACACACACACACACACACACACACACACGCACACGCACAATTACTCGTTGGTGGGGCTTTGCTGTCTGTTAGTGCAATACAAGGGGTCCTGCTAGATCAAACCCACCGTAAAGCTACTGTGAATGCCTGTGATTGCACCAAACTGGGAAATTGGACTTGCTTTGTTTCTAGTACCTTCATTTAACAGTGAGTGCCGATTACTCAAAGCGATATGGGCAGGACCTGGTAATATAGCATTACTGTAGCATTAACTTAAGGGGATGATCCAGTTGCCTGCAGTGTAAATACTTTGTGGCCAGGAACCCTGCTTTATCGCTTTGTATAGTTTTAAAGTAGTTTAAAGATTGAATAACATAAAATAACATAATATAATGTTATTTATGTTATTTCCCACGTGAAGAACTCCTGTAAACCTTGCAGTATTGAAACTCAGTGAACAAGGCATCTTAGACAAGCTGAAAAACAAATGGTGGTACGATAAGGGTGAATGTGGAGCCAAGGACTCCGGAAGTAAGGTCAGTCGCTGAAGGTCTTTTTGTACTGATTAGCAATCACATTTTGACCCACTGTTTGTTTATACAAAGAATGACTTTCAAAAGTTGATATTGACATTTTGAAGGTTGAAGGAAAAGAATAGGAAAAAATAATTAAGTCTCTGAACGTGACAGCATTTTTCTTGTATGCAGTAGCAGGCTGTAGTTGTAAGTATGCTTTACTATTTGAGTATTTTGCTAGGAGAACATGGAGAGAGAAGCCCCCAAAGCCTCCCAGGCTGGTACCTTCATTTAAGTGTGCAAGTTGCAGCACAGCCAATGTGTATTATTCAGGCCAGCGCCTTCTCTTATTTTCAGTTTTATTGAAGAAAACGCATTTTTGTTTCAAACTTGTGGCTTACTTACATTCTCTACATGTCAGTTTGGGGAACAGTCACGTGCTTGCTAAAGGTGGACAATTTCAGGACAGGCCTGTAATAACGAAAAACAAATGCCCTTCCTGCCCTATGTCCCAATTCAATTTGAAATTGGTTTAATTTTTAAACAAATTTAGGAATCCTATGGGTAACTCTTTATGTAAAGAATATATGGGGTTTTTTTATGCTGCTCTAAACCCTTTTGCTGCTGCACTGCCCTGTCCCACACTCCAGGACTGCTTTAGAGTCCAGTGGAGATGATCCCACCCCTGTGGTGGCAGTGGATAACCCAGTAGCTGCACACTTAAACTGCAGGAAGTATTTACTTACACCACTCAGCTAAAAGAAAACACAGAGGATTTTTGGTTTTAATGCTTGTTGAGGCATTGAGGAGAAAAATCGTGTAGAAGTGCTGGGCTTGTTGGAGTAAAGGACGTTTTGAAAGGCACCAAGAGGAGGAGAGATCCAGCTCCAGCTGAAATCAGTCACAGTCGAGTGCCTGACTCCCCTGGTGCCTTTGGAAGTGCTCTCTATAATCATTCAAACAGAAAACTGTCATTTGGAAGCACCCTCTCAGTGTTGGAGGACAATTTCAAGTTCCATCAAAGCCAATAATAAAAATTCATTGATTTCAGCTGGACTGGAAGTTGCTCAGGGCACAGCCCTGTAGCTGGTGTCTGGGATAAATCTGGGATTGTGGGACATCTGAAAGCACAACAGCTGCAGGAGAAAACTAATTGAAAGGAGGTGTAAAGGAGTAACAGCTTTAGTTTAAATGGCAGGACATCTGCTACCTCTACACAAAGTGCTCATGAAATGAACAGTATTCTGACTATATGCAAGTATTTCCCTCCCTGAAGGTACTTCTAAACCTAGCTCTGTCAGCAGGCATCCCGCGGGTGCAGCCCCTTGCATTATCTGCCTGGCCAGGCCCACCAGCATCAACTCCATCCACCCCACGCAGCAGCAAAAGAGTTGCAGCAATATTTAACATGATCACAGAATCCTGTTTTTAAAAATGCAAGCTTTCTCCCCCCATCTGACATGTATTAGAGGGAGGTAAACCCTGGGCAGCCTTTTTTTGTGTTACAATGACTGGTTTTATTCAGTAACTCATTCTCCCTTAGTTACCAAAGGTGCTAGTTTAGCTTAGGGCCCTGCTGCTTGACCTTAAAGTAACTGACCATCTTCCTAGGGTGGGTTTTTTCTCCTAACTGTTGAAAACAAGGTAGATAAGTTTAGCAGCTTTTCTATAATTTTATGTACATTCACCAAAACCAAGTGTTTTACGCTGTTTTAAACCTTCTGGTTTATGCAGCCACTGCTTTCCCCATAGAGCATTCCAGAGGGGTCTTTGCTACCAGGGATGCTTGGCTGCAGGCAGGTTTGCTCTGGGATGCCAAAGGCCTGGGGAAATCAGTGGCCACAATAACCTCATTGCGTTGGAGTCAGCCAGGGTTTCACCCGCCAAAAGGTGGGAGACAGAGCAGTTACTGGGCTGCTGGGATGGGGGGAAGGCACTGAACACCATGAGTGTAGTTGTTCCAGCTAGAGTTAACTGTTAAATAGCCTGTTGTCTGTCTGTCTGCTCCTCACAGCTAAACTAACATCGTGGCTCGTTTCTCTTAGGACAAGACGAGTGCTCTGAGCCTGAGCAATGTTGCTGGGGTTTTCTATATCCTTGTTGGAGGCCTCGGGCTGGCCATGATGGTGGCACTGATCGAGTTTTGCTACAAGTCTCGGGCCGAGTCCAAGCGAATGAAACTCACCAAGAACACGCAGAACTTCAAGCCTGCCCCTGCCACCAACACCCAGAATTATGCTACCTACAGAGAAGGCTACAACGTGTACGGCACAGAAAGTGTGAAAATCTAGGGGTACGGCTGCGGGCCGGGACCTAAAACCTGCTGGGTTTTCTTTCTTTCTGGCTTTTTTTCAGCTATGTGTGGTCTTTGTTGTGTGAATCGGCCAGTGCTGCAGAAGGGCTTGTGAAACATTGTCTGGTGGCCATCTCAGCGTATTAGTGATGTAAATGCCTTCCTGAACAGAAGTAAGCTTGGTACCATCCTGTATTGTGAGCAGTGACAGCCGTCTTCATAGAATGATTGGAGTTGGAAGGGACATTAAAGCTATCTTGTTCTAACTCCCTGCCACGGGCAGGGAAACCTTCCACTAGAGCAGGTTGCTCCAAGCCCCATCCAACCTGGCCTTGAACACTGCCAGGGATGGGGCAGCCACAGCTTCTCTGGGCACCCTGTGCCAGGGCCTCAGCACCCTTACAGGGAAGAGCTTCTGCCTAATACCTCATCTAGATCTACCCTCTTTCAGTTTAAAGCCATTTCCCCCTTGTCCTACCACTACACACCCTTGTTAACAAGTCCCTCTTGTAGGCCCCTTTTAGGTATTGGAAGACTGTTACAAGGTCTCCCCTGAACCTTCTCTTCTCCATACTGAAGTGAGTAACTTCTCTCTCCAGCATGGTGCTAGTTCAGTGCATATAAAAGTGTTTTGTTAGTTGCTTTACAAGATATTGTCATCAGAATTCACACTTTCTTGCTAGTGACCTCTTCCCCTTTATTTTTTAAGCTATAATCAGGCCAGGTAAGTGACTTTAACAAGTCTCAAAAAAACCTACAATAGAACAGAAGAAGCCTACACTAGAAACCATCATTTCTAAAGCATCAAAAGCAGGGTTGAACTGCTTAAAAACTGAAGTCAGTTGAATTGCTGACTGTTGGCCCATCAGCCACAGACTGTGCCTCTCCCAGGCTGAGCTCACCTGCCCCTTGCCACCAGGAACTGATGAAATCTTTCTGGCTTTATTGTAGATCCTCACCCTGGCAGCACGCGAGAGGAGAAGCAGCAGAGAATGTGGCTACTTCATGGATTCGGACCACCTGAGCCAGTTGTACTCTCTCCGAGGTGTCAGGCATGACACACGTTGATGATGGTGCAATGTACTTTTAACAGGAAAAACTGATTTTTTTTCCTTCAGTGCCTTATGGAAGACTCTGAGACTCACAACAATGCAAACCATCACTGAAATATTCTTGCTTTGCTTGAAAGAAGAAAAAGAAAAAAGGAGGAAAGGAAAAAGAGAAACGGAAAGAAAATAAAAGAAAAAAAAAGAAAAAAGAAAAGAAGAAAAAAGAAAAGGAGAAAAAAGCAAACAAAGAGAAAAAAAGAAAAGAAGGAAAAGAGAAGAAAAGAAAAAAAGAGTAAGAAAAGAAAAGAAAAAAGAGAAAGAAAAGAGGAAAAGAAAAGAAAAGAAAAAAGAAAAGGAAAAGAAAAGAAAAGAGAAAAGAAGAAAAACGGAAAAAGGAAAGAGAAAAGGAAGAGAAAGAAGATAAGGAAGGAGAAAAAGAGAAAGAAAAAGGAGGAGGAAAAAGAGGAAAGAGGAAAAGGAAAGGACAGGTAACAAGGTATTAGTATGTGGAAAAAAAAAATCTTGTAAAAAAATCAGTGCAACAAAAGCCATTCTTTGATACCACTGCACAGTAACTGAACTTGTGTCCTGAAAGCGAACCGCAGCCGGTTTCATCAGCCACCCCAGTCGTATCAAATTGTGAAACTCCTCCTGACACAAAGCCTCAGAAATCTGCTGCGTGCGAACACGGACTGGCCTGTCACTGCTTGTACGAGCTGATGTCAAGATGTTTCTGTATTTACTTACCAGTGGTGTGATTTATTTTTGTCTGAGCCACTTTAACTCTCCAGCTAATCTGAGCAATTCTGTATAGCAGTAAAAGCTGTGACACCTGAAGAAAAGAATCTGTGCATTAAAACCAGTTAAGGTCAATGACTGTGAATCTGTAAATCCAAAAGAAAGTAATCTGTGGAACTGCATGTCTTGCTTCCAGATCAGTAAATTAATTTCTTGACAAGGTAGCTAAAGTGCAGACAGAAAATATTGCATTCCTGGGGTTTTTTTCTATCATCAGGCATACCTACAGGTGCTTTATTAAAATGACATTGGGTGGCTTTTAAAAGGAAAATAAAGAGAAGAAAAGCTACTTGCTGTTTAGGTTCAGACCATATATCTCTTTTCTTGCTGTGCATTTGCATTTTAAGTCACTGTTTAATATCAAGCAATGAAGCAAGAGAAGCACAGGTTAGTTTTGCCCAGGCCTGCTTCTGCTTCCGCCCCCAGTTCTCTCACAACTAGCACTGTGCTCAGCTAATGCTTCTCGGGAATGGTTATTTTAAACCAGAAATAAGGAAAGAGGATAGTAACTCAAAGTAGAGCTGCAGTTCCAGGGTAATATTAAGCGATCTAACATGATTCCTGCTAGTACTGTTATATTATATCAGCTCCTGCCAACTCTTGTTTCATGGCTACTGGTGAGAGGATACTCCTGTCCTTGACCCCTCTGGGAAGAGGACATCATGCTCCAGCCGACACTGCTACAGGTAGGGGCTCACTATTACTCACATCAACATCTTAGACAGCAGCAGCATTTCAGCCTTGAACCTCTGCCTGGAAACTACTTAACTTCATCTTAAAAATAAAATAAAATCTGAAAAAAATAGCAAAAGACAAAAAAAAACCAACCTTTGAACATATTGTGAACCACATGGGAAATGTTCAATGGAATATCTGCATACTAATTACCTCTAATCGACAATATGTATTTTCTGTAGTTTACTATAGGGTTTTATTTCATCAGTAACATACAATGAAAAGGAAACTCATTTAAAGCAGTCTGACCCTTAGGCATTTAGTTTGCTGATGATAGATTTGAACTTTTAATAGGATTAAAAAAAAAAAAGAAAAAAAAAAGATTCTATGGGGAAAGTCTTGTTAAAAATAAGTATTTCCAACAAAATGTAATATAAAAACCATTTTAAACGCTCGTAGGAGAATAATTTATTGTTCACGTTTTTAACAAGATATCGACAACAAATTGTTGGTTAGTTTTCATTTTGTTTTCATGAAACTGTGATTTCTTTTCAACTTCTGAAGGCGATCACGGCCCCAGCGCGGGCGAGCTAAAGCTGTGCAGTACGAGTTGTATTTAAAACAAACGTTTTTCTTAGACGCTGTATAAAAGATGTATGTTTATCAGATTCATTTTTAAGTGGCGGCTTCACACCAGTGAAGGGGTTTGAGAAATGGTTTGGTATTTTTTAAACTTGCATGTAAAGCTAAAACAAAACGTGTCGAGTGCTTACCAATCCCGGCTACCAACTTCAAGCTATGGGAAGTTCGGCAGTAGTCTCACCATGATTTGTTTCAGTATGTTTTACCTGGGGGGGTTTGGGGATTCTTTCCTTTTTCTTGTCTTGGGTTTTTTTCCTTCCTCATTTTTTTTTCTTTTTTTTTTTTTTTTGATAATTTCTTTTCCTTGTTTTGGTCTTTGAAACTGCACTTCAGTGAGCAGAAAAAATTGCCAAGCAAATTAATGGCTGTAAAAGCATAAACTGCATGTGTGGGCATCAATTACCAAGCCTCATTTTAATGAGGCGTTGTACAAAGAGTTTTAATACATTTTGTAAATAAAACTGTAAAGAAAAAAGTTAAAGAGCCAGCTGATCTTTTCACCAGAGGAGGAGGCAAGCCGGTCCCTCTCTACTTAGGATGTCCCACAGGTATTTAGTTTGGGGCCACCCACAGCACTGAACAGAAGATGCTGCTGGGAAATGCATATTCCTGTTTTGGTACCCTGCAAACAAACTGATTTCACTCTTGATGACCCCTCTGGCCAGTTCCAAAGGGCAGCCTGTGGGGCAGGGAAGAGCTCAAGGGATGCTATGCCCTGCCCTGGAGTGGCCAGCAGCATAGGTGAATCAGTTCCTCACGCTGACTCTACAGGTGTATTTTCCTGCAGTTCCCACATTGTCAGCAATGCTTTGAAAAGAAAAACAAACTTCACCCAACACTACAGCTAATCCCAACTCTAATTTATGGAGCTTACCTCATCCACACTTTGTTTTTTCCTAGTCACCACAATTTATGAACCATAGGAAGTAATCCTGGTGTTAAACAGCTGGTGTGCACCCAAGTCACATCACAGCAAGGGCAACCCTTTGGGGGCTCAATCAGCCTCACGGTCCCCATCAGAAGCAAGCTCCCACTGGGCTCTTTCCGGGGTCCACATGGGTGACGAGTGCCCAGTGCCTGCTGAGGGCTGAGCTGGAGCAGTGAAACACTTCCCTGGGCTGTGGGGATGTAAAGATCATCTCCTGGCAAAGAGCCCAACAGTGAGGGCCCTAGAGCAGGGAGTGCCACTGCAGAGCCAGCAGCATGGGACCTGTGCAACCGGCTTGGTACCTCCTGGCCAAAGCACACCTTGAAACCCAACCAGACTTGATGTATGGAGCATCACTGGATGCAGGGAAAAACACATGTGGCAATCACGTCAGTGCCTTTCCCAGGGCAGCACTCGGTGCCCAGCAGTGGGTCCTGGCTGTGGGTCCTGCTCGCTGCAGAGCTGCCATCAGCTGTGGTGCCTGTTGTACATGAGCGCAGTGGTGGGACACAGGCACTGAGCTCACCTGCGTGTCTTCAGGGGAGTCTTCAGCAAGAGCAGACAAATCTCAGGAATGAGAGCCAATATGAGAGCAATAAATGGCAAGTCTTTGACACCAAACCAGCCCACAAGACTGAAGGTTTTAGGGTGCTTTGGGGGTGAGCATCTCACTGTGCACAGCACTGCCAGGCTCTCGCTGAAATGAGCCTATTTACATGTGAAGTTTCCACACAGAAAATGCATGGAGCCGTGAAAAAAATAACATTCTATCTTTTCACCTTCATTTCACACCTGACCATGGGCAGGATGTGTTTAGAGAATGGTCTTGATCCACTCCTATAGCTGCACACAGCCCCGCACTGGCTACAGGAGTGAGCGATGCTCTCATCCCCACGTACCTGCGAAAACACTGCTGTGAGCATGGCTTAATGCTGGCAGAGCCCCAGCACTGAGCTGGGAGGGTGTGAGCAACACAGCAGTGCCAGCTTGATAGCTAACCTGTCTGCTGGGGTCACCCTGAGCACCACATCCAGGCAAAACGGGCGTTAAGAACTGCTAATAAATACATATTATCAAGCGGAACTGACTGGGGCTGGGGTGAAGTGGCACGGCTGCATCACTGAACTGGGACAGCCCTGCTGGCCATGACAAGGTTAAGGTAGGGGACAGCCTCACACAGAGCCATGGCCACAAGGGTGAGGCACAGGAGCTTGTGTGCTACCCCAGGTCAGGATGGGCCAGCCTATGTTAAGCCAAAACCTGTATTTCACAGCATAACACTGCAGCAAAGGCAGCGGGGCTAGTGCAACAGCCCTGGAACACAGTGCTCTAACACACCCCAAACTGACTTTGTTATTTGGGAAATAACATAAGGAATATTCAGAGTAATTCAACCAGTTTCCAGAGCCATCAGTGGGAGCAAAGGGACATCAACAGTGTTCAAGTTCACACCTAAAAATCCCAAACCCATAGCAGCTCTGCCTCACAGTAATGAACACATCTGACACCAAAATAATAAGCTGTAACACAACCCCCACTGTACATTATGGCATAGTTTTCCTTCCAAGGTTTTGTACAAAGCACTGAACCATTATTTTTTAATAATTATTATTTATGGTTATTAAAATAATAATATGTCATGGTTATTAAAATTAAATTACAAAACGTCTTTGGTGCTCGTATTCAACATCTCAGTCTGGAAAATTGACTATTTTGCAGGCAGCAATACATAAACAAGCTCTGGGTAATGATAGCTCTATTCAATTAAGCTGGAGAATTTAAGTGCAGAGATAATATTTCCATGGATATTACAAATTTCAAAGTAATATTAACTCGGAACATCGTACATCTAAAATCGGGATCAGGGAGGACAGTGCCCACAGCAGCAGCACCACCCACATCCTGATGCCCTTTGGAGCTGGGCTCAGTGCCCCTCAGCACCGGGGCTGCAGGGAAAGCCCAGGCTGGACTTGCGCCATGGGCTAGCACCGAAGGGGGTCAGGAGCCCCACCACTAGGGTGGGATGCCCCCTCCTGTGTGGAGGCAGGTTTAGCTGCCACATCCCACATCCCCCCTACCCCCCAACACCTCAGTCCTGCTCTGCCTCTGTCCTCAGGCTTCCTTGTCTTCACACCCCATCCCTAGCAGTGCTCAAGGCCAGGTTGGA